GCGTATACTTTATTGATCTTAATACATCAATTTACATATCCATGTTGCACTAACATTTTCTTTAAAATATAACATTATTTCAATGTTAAAATCTGCTAAAGATATTGTTAAGTCAGTGTCATAATACAATTGCTGTTTGTCATTTCAAGATTTAGAAAATGTCAGTGTAGATTATACTTAGGACACAAAAATAGAGAATTTGTATCACTTGATAAGCTTTTAGCTATAATAATAGAACACCAAACTGAACATGATTTAAAACATAATGCCACTTCTTCACTTAACATGAAGTTCTGAGTTGGACAGTCCTTCAGTTAGTACAAGGAATCAATAACATGACATTATCAAGGACTCAAGACTTTTCCTACACTCCTGCTCTGTCATCCTCAGAGTGTCTATGATCTCTTCCTTCATGGGAAAAGATAGCTGGCCCAGCTTCTGAACATCCTGTCCTCACAGGAGTCAAAAAACACTTCTCACTTGCCTCTTATTCAAGAAGAAAATTTTTCCAAGAAGTCCCAGGCTGATCTCGTCTTACTCCTCACTGATCAGATCTGAGTCACATGGCTACTCCTAGACCCAGTGCTGGTAGACAGAAATAGGATGAAGGGCATGTTATATGCATATCGAAATTTCTTCTTTGTGGAAAGGAGCGATTCATTAGCTCAGAAAAAAATGTTCATCCTCAGAAACTTTTAGTAACATTTAAATCCTGTAGAATTCTAACCATTTTTATTTTAAAGACCACTTGCCATCTCATGAGAAGGGCAGCTGAACTCTTTTGAAAGTTACTCTAGAGGGTTGGGGATTTAGCACAGTGGTAGAGAGCTTGACTAAAAAATAAAATGGAAGAATATGGGGCCCCAGAAGGCTCCTCATGTCCCCTTCTAATAATTACCGGCTATCTCAAGGACAACCACTGTTATGCTCTGTGATATTACATAGTCATGTGATGCATAACAATATTTCCATGATGGACTGCAAGCACCCCAGTGGTTCCATAAAATTTTATCACCTAGTCATCTTCAGCTGCTTTAGTTTGTGAAAGCACATTTCACAACATTCACACAATGAGGAAATTGCATAAGGATAAATTTCTCAGAACATATCCTTATCCTTAACACATAACTATATTATTTTAAAATTATATTAAAGTGAATTAATACATTATATACCTGCTGCTATCACTCAACACTGTTTCTGAATGCATTGCTGCACATAATTGAAGCTTTTAAATTCTCATTACTGGTTAGAATTCCTCTAAATAAATTTATTATAATGTAGACAAATATTTGTCTTATTTCCTGCTTAGAGATACATGACTATAACTGCTATGAACATTCCATTGCATGTCTTTTGTGAACATTTTCATGCCTTTCTGTTTGGTACATACTTTCAAAGAGAAATGCTGAGCCACAGGTATGCATTTGTTCAGTGTCAGTGGAAACTACCTCATTATTTTCCAAAGTAGTTGTAACAATGTGCACTCTCATCAACTATGTGTAGGAATTCCAGATAACCCAAATCCTCCCCAATGCTTGATGGTTTCTTTCTTCATTTTAGTCATTCAGAGATAGTTCTCCTTCAACTTTAATGCATGCATTTTCTTTAACTTCTGTCAGTCTGGGGCAACCTATACTTTTCCCCCAGACTTGAATTAAACTAGTAAATACATTTTAGAAAAAAAATTTTCCCTAGGATTGTAATTTTGTTCCTGAGGCACTCCTATGCTATATTCCAGTTCCAAGGCATCACTGATTAGGGAAGAAAACATTAATAAAACAAACCATCAAACTGTATTTGTGTTTTAGAAAAAAAATTGTCAGTAATACTTTTATTATTTACTTATATTTTGTAGTACTAGGGTTTGAACCCAGAGCCTTGCACATGTTAGGTAAGCACTCTACCACTGAGCCCAGTCCTTTTCTAAGAAGGATTAACTTTTTAACCTTATGATCAAAAATTTAGTTTATACAGCCTTTTGAATATAACATATTGTTATGGCTTGTATCTAGATGTCCCCCCAAAGCCTCATATACAGTCATAGGTGGGGCTTTTCAGAAGTAGCTGGATCTAGGGTATATGATACTGATATTAAGGGTGTGTGATTACCAAATTAGTCCACTGATTGGTTTAGCATAGTTCTGGGTGTGGTTAATGGGAAAGCCCACCCTGGGTGTGGGTAGCATCATCCAAAAGCCTGGTAGCCGATGATAGAAAAGTGAAAGTCAGGCTTGTTGCTATGGCTTGTGCTGTTTCACTGCTTGCTGCTTGCTATCTACTGCCTGCCCTGCCATGCCATGAACTGTTTCTCCTCTGCGATGCCCCTTTGACATGCTGCTCTGCCCTGGAGCAAGCCAACTATGGACTGAAACTTCTACAAATTGTGAACTAAATGAACCTTCCCTCCCTTAACTTGTAGGTGTCAGGTATTTTGTCCCAGTAATGATAAAAGTAACTAAGATATATACATTAACAAAGTTTAGTCAGGTTACTGCTAAATTATTGTGAACTATTAAAAGTTATTCTTATTAATTTTCTTAATTATAACATTGTTCAAATGACATATAATTTAACAAATTATATTCTTTGTGTAATTTATGATAAACATTTGGTAAACCAGATGATATAGAGGTTCTACATGTGACACTAAAGGCTGATTGATTAGCTATTCAGTTTGTTTAGCTAATTACATTTTTGTTTTAAGCAAAAAGATAATTCTTTGTGGTTAGGGGTCAGAAGTCTGAGAATAAAAAGTTTGGGAAAAACTAAGTGTATCTTTGAAACCTGTATTTGGTCTTTATAAAGCTGCAAACACTGTATTAGCTAGCAGTTTGTTTCCATTACTAAAGAGAAAATTCATAGTTTTTAAAAATTTGTTTTTAAACAGAACTGATACATTTATCTTCCACCAATGCAAAGTTTTCCTATTGATCTGCTGCTTTAAGCTTCCCTCTGTTGATGCTAAATCTTAGACACTAGAATTTTTCTTTCCACATTTCCATAAACACTTGCCTCATCTTTTCAATAACTCCTCTTATTATTCCTTGTTGTTTTCTAAAGTTGCCTTCAAATGTAGTCTTTTGACTCACAGGATCAATTCAACTATATATAGTTGCATCCCTTTGTACCAGTAAAAGTGAGAGACACTTCCACTGGCTTGATTTATATGGTATCTGGAATAAATCCCTGCTTATTAATGTTTTATATATTTGAGAAATGTGCCATGCGGTGAATCAGTTTAAAGATATTGCATTCTATTTGATTATAAGCTTAAAAATCCAAACCTTTGCTATCAAAAAATCTCATGCTTCTCTTAAAAAAAAACCCAGCAAACCAACTGAGAGAATTTGGGAGGGCTTCCCAAAGAACTATCCTAGTTAGGATTTGGAATTATAAATATATTAAGTTGTCCAAGTAACTTCAGGCGTTGGAATCTGGGTACTATTCCCAGAGTGAAAGATAACATTAATAAAAAAAAGTTCTTGTTTCACTTAAACAATCTGTTTTTCTTGTACTGTATTATTGCCGATGGGATACATTCTCAAACCTGTTGGCATATATTTGTGGTGAAGTGGTCCAGATGTGAGAATATTTTCATATATACATATATTTACCTACACTACTATTTTTCATTAATAGAAAGAGGTGAGGGGCCAGGGATTTAGCTCAGTGGTTTTGTCGCCTGCTGTGCAAGCGCAAGGAGGACCCGAGTTCGATTCCCGTTACCAAAAAACAAAAAAAAGAGGTAATATACTTTGATATATCAGCATTTCTTACCCTTCCAAATTGTCCTGATTTTGGGGTCTAGGGTATAAACTCTCAAGAAAGCAAACCATGCCAGGTCTAAATAAATGAACCAAAGCAAAACAGTTCAGATTCTTTTTCTCCAGTTTTGTTAACTGATGTAACCTCCTGACTCAGGCATATATATACACCATGGTTTGGTACCTGCACTTTCTCTTTTCTCTGTATTGCTCAACAAAGTCTTTGTGCATGTTGAAATTTCCTCGCCTCTTCTTCCTATGTCTCCTTCTATAAAATGGAAATTATTTACTTTGACTCATATTTTCTCAAACCTTTCTCCCAAGGCTTTCTCCCAAACTAAGCATCCTCTTGCTCATTTGAAAAAAATGAGCAGTTTCTTTCCTAGAGAGAGGACATTGCACTATCAGTGTGTTCAAACATTTACTAAGTTTCATGCGTGACACATAAAGACAGAACCAAGAAATTCTGACCCTGTACTTTCTTCACAGTTGATTTTCTTTGTTGCTGATCATTATTTTAAAGAACTATCAGCAGGGTAGAGATGGCAACAGTCACAACTACTGCTTTGTGAGTTGAGACTCAAGTTCTAGCCCTGGATTTCTCATGTATCAACTCACTAGCTCTGAGTGGCACTTTTCTCATCTGTAAAACAAGGACTTTTAGGTCATCTTTTCAGTTTTAACAGTGTTCAGTAGACTGTAGAGGTGCTTCAGTGGTTCTACAAATATCTGATGTTAATTTTACAGGTCCTGGGGATACTCTAAGACTATAAATATCTGCCTATAAGCACAACTATATAGTTTTTGCTCATTCATGCAGTTTTATTGTTCTCAGTAACTGACATTACAATCTATTCTTTGGTATTATATGTTCTTCCATTTCATAATTAAGGTATCAAGATATGGACTCTTTCCTTCTTCTTGCTTGAATTGATTTTCATTGGTATTCTTGGATCTGAAGATTTGTATCTTTCAAATATTATAGAAAGTACTATCATTATATCCTCAAGTAGTGTTCCTTCTCTATCATCTTGTTATTCCAAATAGATATACATTAAACTGTATCACCTTGTGCTCCAAATCTCTTACTCTTTTTTTCATATTTTCCATCACTAAGTGTCTCTAGATAGCCTTCTGTTATATAAGTATCAGGCACTAACCGACTGCAGCACTGGAGCTCTTAGCCTTCTAAAGACTATCCTCAAACCTATTTTCTAGCTCACTGATTCTCTTCACCTGTATCTAATCTGCTACTTAATTAATCCATTGAGTTTTAATTTCAATAATATATTCTTTTTATTTCTAGGTTCCCTGTTTCCAACATTTTTCTGAACACTAACGATTAAAATCAGGTATTTTATATGTATTTCTGGTTGTTCTAATACGTGAAGCCTTGGTGGTTGCTTTACACAGCTTATTCTCTCTGTGAGTTCTCACTACAGTGCCTAGTATTCTATTTGGTTCATAAATTTTTACTAAAAGCTACTCATTTGTCTTGGCAGTTTTGCCATGGAAATGTTTGGTGGCTTAGATTCTAGCTGTCTCAAAATTAAAAGTTTAAAAGACTAACTGATTGGTACAGCACCCCAAGTTCAATCTCTAGTACCCCCAAAACAGGTTAACTATAAAACATGTATGCTCCCATTAAATCTTTCATAGTGCTTTCAATTTTTACAAAATTCATAATTGGTAAATTACTTTTCCAGTTTACTTAAATTCATTCGAAAAGTAAAAGAAAAAATGATCTCAACCTTAACCTTCAGAGGTAACTAAAACCATAGGTCTATTTGCTCCATGTTAGTTGTTGCCCCCATATGCTGTTTTCTTCTAATGAGAGCTTTCTGAATTTACAAAAATAAAACTAAAAAAATCCCACTGCCCTCTTTGGACTTTCCTTTTCCCTGTAATTTTGTCCTAAAACAAAATATAGCTAAGTCCATGGCTTACCTGGATTTTTGTGTTGTGACAGATCAGCCTCTACCTAAAAGATGATTCCAGGTTACTTAGTTCCTCCCCTGCCTACCACATTCTATGCTCTAAAGTTAGTGAAGAGGACAGGAAAAGAGCACAGTGCCGAGGCAGAACTGAGGCATCTTCTGAGGAGGGCATTTGTTGAGTGGGCAAGGTACTGATACAGAAGAAAGAAAAGAGGATAGAATGGGTTGAAGGAAGAACACAGGAAAGAAAACCAAAGGGATAGGGAAACACTGGTTTAATGCACTCTCCTCGTTTTTAAGATAAGGAAACTGAGATTTGGAAAGCTGAAGAGACTTGAGAGGAGGGAGAAAATCCTGGGTCTAATCTTGGAAACAAGAGACCAATCTACTTCTGCTTCTTCAAAAATCACTAAAAACGATCCCACCACACAGCTGTGGCCTCCAATGTGTGAGAGCCATGGGGAAGAAAATGGGAGGAAGGCAGGGAATTAAACAACTTGAACTGAATACTGTGAAACGTTCAGTCAAATTAAAAGCACAGGGCCACGGGTCAGTCAGAAAGTCAGCTTCCTCACTGCTTAGAAAGAACATCAAAGAACAAGAAGACTTTGGTTCTATTAGGCCAAGGTCCATAAAATCATCATTTCTGTAGGTCATGATGAAGTAGTGATAATTTCATATACTCAATCCAAAGTTCCAGCTCCAATGCTCTACAGATGTTTGGAATTCAGGCAGAGTTTCCACATCCCTTCAGTGAGTGCTGTCACCATACCTACGTTATAGAGATTTTGCAAGGACTAATCCATATTACAGAACACTTACTGAGTGACTGCTGTGGATAACAGCTGAGGAAAGAAAGAAAACAAAGGTGCGACCCTTGTTTCAAGGAGACAGCAGTGCAGTGGAAGAAAAAGAGAGATACAATTAGCAAATAATATAGGAAGCAATAAAGTCTGCAAGGTTGTGGGTTGTTAGGGAGATAACCTTTGCATTGGGCTCCAACAGTTAAGCTGAAGCTTCATGGATAAATGAGAACAGGCATCACTAACAAGAAGAGTCTGAGCAAAAGTGTGGAGATAGGAAAATGCATAGGAATGGTAAATCAGTCTAAAAGAAAGTGTGGAGGGAAAGATGAGGTGATAAAGGCTGTTTGGGCACATAGTAACAATGTAAAAAAAATGACTGGATATAACTGCATTCAGAAAAACTATGGAGAAACAAAGGAGTGGTTTACAAATGTCAAGTGCTATTTGTCTTAAAGACATAAAAGAAAGCCTCCCTAAACACCCATACTATCCCTTCCATTCTCTCTTGGCAAGTTTGTCTGAAGTCCTAGATTGATTTGCCAGATTTCTTTATAGAATGTTGCCTCTCTCTAAAGGTGTTCTCTCCTGGGTCCAAATAAGTGATATGTGGGAACTGTCAGTATAGCTGGGAGGGTTGGAAGGAGGAAGTGATTCAGTTTGAGTGAGGAGGCTGCGGTGTCCCTGTTCCCCAAACTTCAGTCTTCCCTTCTGTATATCACTTATTCTGACCTCCTTCAAGAAAGATGTGAAATCACTGCTCCAAGGGAGCAGAGAACTGGTATGAGCACCCAACCCTCTTCCTCCCATTACTGCCTCCCAGCAATGAAGTCATACTGGGTTGGCAAGCTTAATTATAGTCTCCATTTCTTCTCTCCTATCAGCTAGGATTAGTTTAGAGGCACTGTCTTCTTCCATTAACTAGCAACAGGCTTGTGTGATCCCATAATACCTCACAGATCCTCTTCCCATTCAAGGGCATGAAAGCTTGATATGGTGGTAATGGAATTTAGGGCCCAGAAAATAAATCTATTTTACCAAGGCTCCCCATAAACTAAGAGAAAGAACCAGATTGACTTGATATCAGATTCTGGCTTTGCTTCTTATTATTTATGTGGTCTTTGACAAAGACAATCTGAGACATATCAAAAGAAATCAATCTGATTAAAAAAATTTTTAAGTAAAATTCATAATAAGAAAAGTCAACAGGGCTGGGGATTTAGCTCAGTGGCACCACGCCTGCCTTGAAAGTGCAAGGTCCTGAGTTCGAGCCCCAGTACCCAAAAAAAAGTCAACAGTCAATCTAACATTCTTAAGTGTATCAGTATTTTGATAGAGGGCACTGCTTATCATGAAACACTGCCTGACACATAAAAAGTCTGTGGTTCAATAAATGATTTTCCAGTTGATCAGATATATGAAAAAGTAAAATAAAAATTTTCATGTAGTTTCCCGAGTTAGTGCTAATAGAATACATAATCCCTAGCATAAAGTGGATATTCAATATTTATTTATTTATTTTTTATTTTTATTTATTTTTTTTGGTACCAGGGATCAAACTCGGGACCTTGCGCTTGTGAGGCAGGCGGCAGAACCACT